GACTCCAAACCCCCAGTGGCGCCCCCAGCCCGCCAGCCCGCACTCTCCACCCCTTCCCCCGTCCACGTCTGGATCCCCCCTTTGGCCCCAACCCAATTCCCGGCATTCAACCTCCAGTCCGCCGCCAGGAGTCCCAGCCCCCGGCGTGCGCCATACCCGTGCGGGGTGAGCCGCAGCCCGAAACGCCTTGTCTTGCTCCCACTCCCCCCACCTCCTCCGGAGCCCGTCCAGGCCCTGGGGACGCCCGCCACGCCCAGCCAAGCTGGGACCTTCTCGGTTCCCACGGTCATTGGCCCGGCCCTGGTTGCACAGGCTCAACAGCGGCCACAGGCTCCCCTCCCCCACCAGTCCGCCCTCAACAGGTTCCTACCACCCACCCCAGGGCCAAGCGGTAAGAGGGGTTTGTCCCATCTCCCGGCCCCAGTCTGAGATTTGGGCCCCATTGTAGGTCCTCGTCCATTGACCCCAGCTTCAGGGACCTCTGATTTCCTTGTGCAGCTGTTTGTGAGGAGTCTGCACCCCTCTGGCCCAGTGGCCCAGGAGCCACCTCCACACTTCCACTGGTTTGGGAGGACCTCCGGCCCCAGCTTCCCCTCTGGCCTCTCCCAGCCCTGCTTGGCACCGGGGCGTCTGCAGAAAGCTCCCGGCCCTGTGAGCCAGGCAGAGAGCGGAGCCCAGGCGGGAGCCTGCACCATTCAGTCCTCAGGAACCCCCCAGACTGCCAACTAGCCCAGGGGAGGGGTGTGAGGCCTGATGCTGCAGGTGCAGCTCTGACCTGGCACCCAGCCACCATGCCTTGGTGTGTTCTCTGCCTGTGGAACCTTCTCCCCACCCCAGCCCTAGAACCCCTGTCTGCAGCTCTGAGCTGCCCCTCATCAGTTTGCCCCATGGGGGCAAGAAGACAATAGGTGCTACTATTCTATGTCAGGCATAGCATTTGGCCCTGTGGGTCACACCCTCATGCTTCCTGCCTGGCTTCTAACCACAGGCACCTCCGCCTGCTCCCCCAGCCTGAGCCCCTGCTTCTGAAGCCTGGAAGCCTGGCTCCTACCTTCTCTGCCCACCCCACCCTAGTCAGCTCCAGCCTCCCTGGGGTGGGGGGGGGGGGGGGGAGGTCTGCTCAGGAAGATGCTTTCCAGTGGGGTCTTAGTGCCTAGTCCAGGGCCTGCAGATGGCTCCCCGGGGGGGCTGAGCACTGGAAGCCAACAGGGGTATCCAAGGGGAGGCTCCAGGCCTTGGCCTCCCCACCACACAGCCTGGCAGGGGTCCTGTCCAAGGGGGACAAATGTGGGATTTGTTCACTGAGGCCACTACCCACTCCTGCCCAGGATTAAGACCCGTCCTCCCACAGCTCAGAAACCTTACTCAGAGTCTCTTTCTAGGGAAGTCAGCTGAGCACCAAGAAGGGATGAGTTACACGGGGTTACATAGAGTTGGTGTCAGATCTGGGACTGGAACCTGGGGTTCCAGCAACCTGAGCACCTGGGAACCCTCCAAGCCCCTTACCTCAAATGTCTCACAGAGGCCTGCTTGGACTGGGTGTCAACAGTGTACACACTGGATGCCTGCAGAGCAGCGGCTGGGCCTGCCTCCAGGCTCCCTGAGTCACCCCAGCTTGGCCTCTTGCTCACCTGGTCCTCTTCTTCCATCTGTCGGAAGCTCCCCCGGCTTCCCAGGGAGAGCCAGGATGGGGAGTCAGATGTAAACTGCAATCCCAGCTCCCCACCTTCACTTGCTCTTCAGTCCCACACCCAGGCAATACTGTTCATATCTCTGGGTGTCGATTTCCTCATCTGCAGAGTGACGGTAATTATACTGGTCTCACAGGGCCGTGCAGAAGACAGGGTTTGTGGAAGTTTCTGTAGAGTGTTCTTGCTGCTATCAGTCATTTGATCAAATATTTCTCAGGTTCCTCCTACCTCGGGTTTTGGAGATACAAGCAGGTCTGCATGGTGTGGGAGTGGGTTTGTTGGTTGCTTTGGTACAGAGAGGAGGCTCTCGCCAAGTGCCATTTCCTGAGACTGGGAAGCCTGACAGAAGAGCAAATATGGTGCAGTGGGCTCAGGAGTCCATGCAGGCGCGAGGGGGGCGGGGGGGTGGAGGAGACCCAGGGGGAGAGGCAGGTGGAACATACAGGACTGAGTGTCCTAGGAGGCCTGGGCATCCCCGGCACAGGGTCCCTGAAGTGGCGGGAGTGATTAAGGTCCTCAGGGAGACTGCAGAGAAGAGGTCCCAGTTCCCAGCTGGGAGTAACCAGGTGGCAAAGGACTGAGGAGGGGCAGCCAGGAAAGAAAGAGGGACACTGGGCATTTCGTGACCCAGGGCTCAGAGAGCAAGCCGCTTCGATGAGGCGCTGGAGCAGAAGCCACGGAAGTGGACTGAGGAGTCGAGGGGCGAACCGAAGACTGCGCAGGTACAGACACGCGTTCAAGCACAGCCATAAAGGGGAGAAGAAAGAAAGCTGTCAGTTGGGAAGGGATATGAAGTCAAGAGAGAGATTTTTTATTTTGGTTCTGTTTTATGGTTTACTTTTTAATAGGCTTGATTTCAAGCAACAGAAAACAAGTCTGGTTAAGTTAAGCTCAGAAAGGGAAGACTGCCCGACCGCTGTGGCTCAGTGGTTGAGCATCAACCTGTGAATCAGGAGCTCATGGTTCAATTCTGGGTCAGGGCACATGCCCAGTTGCGGGCTCGATCCCCAGTGCAGGGCGAGAAGGAGGCAGCCATCATTGATTCTCAGTGGTCATTGGTGTTTTTATCTCTCCCTCTCGCTTCCTCTCTGAAATCAATGAAAGTGCGTTGCTGTTTTTAAGGGAAAACTTTAGGAGCTCAGAATGGAAGCTAATCCCGGAGAGTTTGTCCTGGTTCTTTGAAGCAAAGCCAGGTTTTTTGAGACAGTAGCTCCCCCACAGAAGGAGCCACCCCTGCCACGCCCTGAAGCCACTATGGGAGGGAGGGTTCCAGTTGTTTGTCCTTCACGGACCTCTTTGCTCAAGATTCAAAGTCCCAGGGGAGCAGGTGCTCCTGTGGCTGCCCCACAGCCACGTGTGCTCTGTCCTTGGATGGAGAGAGATGCCTGGCCAAGGGATTCTCTCTAGAAGCACCCACATCCCACCAGGACCACACCCACTGGACATTTTCCCCAGAAGGGGGAATGGAAACTGGGTGGCCAGACACAGATAGATCCACTGCACATTGTAACAGATTGAGCCTGTTTGACAGCAGGGAGAGGGCCATGGAGAAGGAGAGCGGGCGCCACCACTGGCACTGGTCCCATGCGCAGGACCCAGAGCATGTGGGGCAGGAGCAGGGTGGCCTCTCCACCGAGCAAGGAGAAATGATGGGGGTAGTCCTAGGTAACATACTAGGTTTCGAGGTTGAAGTTTGATGGTTTCTGTTTTCTCTGTGAAATAAAAGGCAAGCTCATGTGCTGAGATGGAAAGGGGGGGATAGAAAGGTTGGAGGAGTAAAGTGGAAGCGTTTTGAAACAGTCATTACAGAAAGTGGAAGAGCTTGTTGGCCAAGCGGTGCTGGGCCCAGGCAATATTTGTGACCAGCAGTAATGCCCACAGGAAGAATCTTCACCAAAGAAGCACACGTTTTAATTAGGACTCACTTTCGTAAGAGAAAGAAAGAGTCACGGGCCACAGCCTTTCTGGATGCTGGTGGCCAGGAGGACACACTCATGGGCTGGACACTGCGGCTCTCACCAGCTGAGCAGCTGGCTCACCACGAGTCAGCTGAGTTCGTTTATATCCAAGTTATTTATTCCCAGTGTACATGTTGTAACTATGCAGTGTAATTAAATAGCACCTAAATAGACGGAATCTGACTATGAAAAGAGTTTTGTTCCTGTGAAAATGAGGTTAAACGTTTTGGAAAATGAGTTACAAAAACTGCTGTCAGTTAAGTGTTTAAGTGTGGGAAAGGCAACTTGAAAAAGAAGAGAAAAATCATTTTTCTA